TCATGTCCCATTTGAGAATTATTTGCCAACATCAGGTCACCTTCCAGAGCTTTCTGGATTTACCACTCACGTTTAGATCAAAACCCTATCTGAGGGGCCGGCGCCGCGGCTCACTAGGCTAATCCTCCGCCTAGCGGCGCCGGCACACCGGGTTCTAGTCCCGGTCGGGGCGCCGGATTCTGTCCCGGTTGCCCCTCTTCCAGGCCAGCCCTCTGCTGTGGCCCGGGAGTGCAGTGGAGGATGGCCCAGGTGCTTGGGCCCTGCACCCCATGGGAGACCAGGAAAAGCACCTGGCTCCTGGCTCCTGCCATCGGATCAGCGCGGTGCGCTGGCCGCAGCGCGCCGGCCGCGGCAGCCATTGGAGGGTGAACCAACGGCAAAAGGAAGACCTTTCTCTCTGTCTCTCTCTCTCACTGTCCACTCTGCCTGTCAAAAAAAAAAAAAAAAAAAAAAAAAAAAAAAAAAAAAAACCCTATCTGAGGGGCCAGCGCTGTGGAGTAGTGGGTAAAGCCTCTGCCTGCAGTGCCAGCATCCCATGTGGGCACCAGTTCGAAACCCGGCTACTCCACTTCCGATCCAGCTCTCTGCTGTGGCCTGGGAAAGCAGTGGAAGATGGCCCAAGTGCTTGGGCCCTGCACCCACGTGGGAGACCTAGAAGAAGCTCCTCGCTCCGGATCGGTGCAACTCTGGCTGTTGCAGCCAATTGGGGAGTGAAGAAGACTTTTTTTTCTCTCTCTCTGCCTTTCCTTCTTTCTCTGTGTAACTCTGACTTTCAAATAAATAAATCTAAAAAAAAACCAAAAACCAAAAAAAACCCTATCTGAACGTAATTGTTTTCATGGTGTGGGCTCCCAGATTCGTTGCTCCACAGGGACATCCAGCAAGGCGCACGCCATTCATTCACGAGGCCCACGTCTCTTGAACTCACGGACGTAAAAGCCAGCCGGCTGCTTTAGGGCAGACCCTGTGTGCCCTGGTCATGGGGCGGGGCAGGAACGCCTCTCCTTGCCACCACCCAGTTCTCTGCTTCCCCGACCCCGGCTTTCCAGGGCATGCCGGCTTCAACCTGCCAGTGCTTCCTCCTGGCTACAGAGCAAAACCAGGCCTCACAGCCCACACTGCCCACCGCATGCCTGCCGAGGCTCGCCCCACACCCTGATGTAGCCCTGCAGGCCCGCAGTGACTCCCGCTTGTCCCCTCACTCAAGAAGAGGCAAGCGCCTGGGGCAGGCAAGCTGGTTCTCTGCTACAAACACAAACACAGCGCCCACTAACACGCCTGGCACAAAACAGATGCTCAGTGAGTGCTGAATGAAAGACTTGACAGTGAGCTCACCCGGGACATCTGACGACCTCCCCAGCACCCTGCAGGCCCTCTGTCGAGGTTCACCGACCCCACCTGCGGTTCTCAGAGCTGCCCTCCCTCTTTCCGCGGCCCCTGTCAACCACTGTGGGACGGTGGTGCCGCGCAGGGGAGCGCGAGCCCACGGCCTCTGATCTGCGTGCCTCTCCCGCTGGCAGGCCAGCACCCGCTTCCTGAAGGGCCCCGCCAGTCCCCGTCCCTCTTGTCCCGGGAGCAATCTGTTCTCACCCAGTCCCCTGCAGAGCGCCCTGGCACAGATCCTGCCTCCAGGTCAGGTCCTCACAGCCCCCACGGAGCCCAGCCCGGTGTCTGGCAGGACGCAGGTCCTCGGGAAACAGCTGCTACATGCCCTCAGTGACACCTCCGCCAGGCCCATGCCTCCACCAGGCCCACGCCGACAGCCAGGCCCACGCCGACAGCCAGGCCCACGCCAACAGCCAGCTGTGACTGCAAACCACTTCTCTCCTCCCTGGTTCAACCTGGGGGTGCCGACACAGCCTCTGCTCAGACCGTCCACTATCAGCCATGACGTGTCCCACACACGGCTCCGGCTACGTCACCCACAGGCTGGGAGCCTGTTCTGCTACACCACCACAGCCTACGCTGAGGAGAGAGAACAGCGCCGCAGTGCACACATTTTAAAGAACAAACAAGTCACAGGTGTCACAGTGACAGTCTCTGGAAGGACCCCCCTACTGCTCCTCCCTCCCGATCAGTGACGCCTAAGACACTGGCACAGCACGCCTCTCCTTCCACACGCAGCACAGCAGGCACTGCCGGTGTCAGCTGAAATGGGGAGACCCTTCCGGAACGCAGAGTGTCCCTGACCAGGAAGGTCTGCCTGCACGAACTCACACACAGGTGGATGGTCAAGGCACACACGGCTGTAACCGCACAGCTCTCGGACCGATTTAAAGGTTCAAGATGTGACTGAGGACATCCCAGCCATGGGCACAGCCACAGACCAAACGGGGCCTCCCACCGTCAGAGAAGGCATGGCTGAGGGACAGGGTGTGGCACAGCAGCTAGGACTGGTCTTGGGTGGCCGACACCCCGCTGACAGTGCCTGGGTTCACGGTCCAGCCCCTTGCTAGTGCACACCATGGCAGGCAGCTGGCCTCCGCCACCTTCGTGGGAGGCCTGGACTGAGTTCCCAGCTGCTGGCTTTGGCCAGCCCAGCCCCAGCAACTGCAGGCGTCCGATTCAGGGCCTGAAACAGCAATGGGCACGCGTGCGCTCACTCGCTCTCTTCCTGTCTCTCCCTATCAAATCAACTAATTTTTTTTCTTCAAACACACAGATCAGTTGTAACACATGGGCTCTGCGTGGGCCCGGCCGTGAGAAGACCGCCTCCCTGCAGTCCACAGGTGACCAGCTCCCCAGCTGCCTCGGGGGAGCCTGGGCCACAGCTGTCACAGCCCAAAGCCCAGCACCACGGCCACAGCCATGCAGAGAGCACAGCACAGTAAGGGGTGTCCCACTTGTGAGAGCAGAATCGAGAGTGCACAAAGACTGATAATGTCCAGTTTTCTGAATTTTAAATCTTCCCACAAAAATTTCGAAGACTTCTAAGAATAAACTGTCAGGTTAACTGCCAACTGCGAAGCATTTTTAAGATACAGCCCCCTCCCGAGGGACGCCCTAGAGCACGAGGCGCAGTCGGACACGTGGGCCCCACACCGCCGCGGGCACCGCAGGCAGCGCTCTGTCCACGCCTTACCTCACCGAGCCTGACAAGCACATCACAGCCAGGCTTCTGTCGCCACCGCTCGGACAAGGGACACAAGGCTTCTGGGGGAGGCCAGAGGTCCGTGCTCGCAGCCCACAGGAGAGGCCTACCGGCGAGACTGGACAGCATTTCCTTCCACAGGCCCAGAGCAGAGCCAATGGGAGGAGGTGATGTGTCACTGCAGTGGGCGGGGAACACCACGCGTGGGGGCACCTCTGCCACGGCCACCTGCACCGTGTGCCACGCCAGGATGACACGAGAACCGTGCTGGGACAGCAGAGGGCAGGGCTCCGGGCGGGCCCCTGCCAGGGGTCTGTTTGTCTCAGGCAGTGGGCTCCTCGCCTCTCAGCTTCCAGAAGCCTGGAGGGGCCCAGAGGCACGGGGAGGGAGGCAGCCACACGAGGCCCTGCCTCTCCTCTCTGCGGCAGGCCATGGCTCTGTGGAGTTGGGGTCCGACTGGGCCCCACACGTGAGGGACTGAGTCTGCACCAGCTCGCCCCAAACTCTGCCACAACACTGCCCACGAGCCCCCTGGGCTTCCTACTTAACCACGTCTGAACTGCCTGGCCTCCAACACCCACTCGGCTTCTCACCCTCCATAGGTGGGCTCTCCCGGCACCGCCGAGCGGACAGCCACGTCCCACTGGAGAAGGGAGACGGAGCCCTCCGCCGGGCCACGCGGCTGAGCAACGGGCGGCCGGGAGCGGCTGCTTTGCAGGCTCTGGAGTCCCGAGTTCACGAGCAGCAAGATCAGCTGGGGAACGGGAACCTCTCCTTCCAAATTAACGCGATCATGGCCCCTCACTGAGGCGGGCGAGCGTTCCCACCTCTCCTGTCAGCTGAGACGCGCACTGTGCCTGGTGCTCAGCACTGCAGAGACCCCAGACCCCAGGCTCCGCACCCCACACGCGAGCCCTGCGGCGGGGCGCCAGCACGGCAACTTGTAGCTAAGACTGCTCACAGAAGGCGCCCCGGGAGCTCCGGGGGCTGTCACGGAACCAACCCTGCGAGGGACTTGGGCTCCAAGCGCAGCTGTGCCCCGGCAAAGCCGCCCAGCCGCTTCTGGTTCCGACCGCTGGAACGGGGCGAGGCGTGCAGCAGCCGCGGGATGGCACACACGTGTGCGCCAGCTGATGGAAGGGCCGCAACGCCCCTCCCCTGCTCAGCCGCTCCTGAGTGCAGGCGGAGTCCTGGGTCCACGCGAGTGCATCCACACTCTCGATCGAAAGCTTCCTTCACACCCCACAGGCATGTGTGTGCTTATCGTGTGATCACGGGCACGCGTGTCACTCACGCTGCTATCTACACACCCACGTGCAAAACCAGGCAACTGAACAGGCAGTCCCAAAACAGAACAAAGAGCTGTGTACAAAACCGGCTGTGCGTCCACGAGGCAGGCACCTTCACGGGGCAGAGCAGCTCCCACAGCACCAGCCGGGTAACGTTCAGGACCCACGTCCAAGGTCAGCCCTGCACCAGCACAAACTCACACTGCGGAGCAACCAAGCAAGGTGAGAAGTACTATGCAGATGACACAGTGCCAGTACAGATGTTCGGGACGAGCAAGTTGTTCCCCGAGCACCAGCAGCCGGGCCGGCAGGCAGGCAGCGAGAAGCGGCACTCACCTCCAGCAGCCGGGCCGGCAGGCAGGCAGCGAGAAGCGGCACTCACCTCCAGCAGCCGGGCCGGCAGGCAGGCAGCGAGAAGCGGCACTCACCTCCAGCAGCCGGGCCGGCAGGCAGGCAGCGAGAAGCGGCACTCACCTCCAGCAGCCGGGCCGGCAGGCAGGCAGCGAGAAGCGGCACTCACCTCCAGCAGCCGGGCCGGCAGGCGGGCAGCGAGAAGCGGCACTCACCTCCAGCAGCTTCAGCTCCTGCACACAGCTGTGCAGCAGCTCCAGGGCGCGCTGGGCCACCTCCCACGGCCTCTGCAGGAAGAGGAGCAGGGTGCACTGGCGAGAGAAGAGGTAGCTGCGCAGGTCCAGCAGGGTGGCCTCCTGCCTCTGGATCAGCTCCCGCTTCTCCATGTCTATGGGCTTGCGCAGGACCAGGCCGTTCCAGCTCTTCACTGGCTGGCAGAAGAAAGCCAGCCAGTTGGCGCCATCTAGGCAGACACACAGGGTGAGAGGTGCTGCCTGCAGACGCCTGGTCTTGCCGAGGCTCAGGTCCAAGGTCAGGGCACCAGCAGACCAACCGGCAGCTGAAGACCAGCTGCTGCAGGTGCAGCAGCTGCGGTGGTGCCTGCAAGTGCACCCACTCAGGTCGAGCCTGCTGGGCAACAAGGCGTGGGTCCTACCACGTGCAGGACCCAACACTCGAGTTAGGAAGCCAGCCAGACTGACAGGCCGAAGGACAGTGACCTGAGGCCAAGTGAAGGCAGCAGCCTTGGGCAGGAGCACAGCCGGGCGAGCCGTGGGCCGGGGCGCACGCAGCCTGTTCACCTGGCCACACGGGGTTGGTTTGTCTAAAATTCTCTTGGTCTCCAGAGCTGGCCTTGCTTCCTTCCCCAACTCAGCAGGCCAGGCCGAGGGAAGCCCCTGGGGACAGCACAGGACGCGCAGTGGCGGCAGAGGGCTGTCCCCCTAAGGAGCAGCAAAGGCTCACCGATGGGCCAGCGTCCTGCAGCTCCAGTCTGGGAGGGAACCAGGAAGCCGAGGACAGCTCCTCAGTTCTCATGAGCCGCAGGCAGAGCCCTGGTCTCTCCCTCCAAGGCCGGCCTCCCGGGCGCAGGGGTCTCTCAGCATCTGAGGTACCACGCAGCCAGCCGCACCCTCCACCGCTCTCACCTCCTGCTCAGAGCTCCCAGAGCCCACAGCGGGGGAGGGCCCATCCACCCCTCCACGTCCCCAGCCCCCAGCTTGCCAGTGGGTCCTTCCCACACCGCACTGAGGCCTCTGTGCCAATGCCACCTCCTCAGAGAGGCCGCCCCTACCCTGGCAAACCTGCGGGGCACCCACATCACCGCACCCCCCACGCACACCGCCTCGGCAGCCTGCACTCACACCCTCAGCCCCCTCGGCCCCCTCCACACAGGCTCTGCACATGCCCTCTGGTGCCTGGTTTCCCCTTCGCAGGCACTCCAGGAAGGAAGGCATTTTTGTCTTGTTGCTCACTGCACGGAGAACAGCAGCTGGCACATGATGGACCCACAGTGAGTGTCAGCAGTGAACAAAACCATCATTCAGCTGCAAACACAGCCCAGGCTTACTCCGGGATTCTAAGCTGTCCCACATTCATTTTAAAATTATCAGGAAAAAAAATTAGGTGAAACATAAGAAATACAGTGTTCAGGGCTGGCACTGTGGCATAGTGGGTAAAACCACTACCTGCAGTGCCGGCATCCTATATGGGTACCAGTTCCAGTCCCAACTGCTCCGCCTCCAATCCAGCTCTCTTCTAAGGCCTGGGAAAGCAGTGGAAGATGGCTCAAGTCCTTGGGCGCCTGCACCCATGTGGGAGACCCGGAAGAAGCTCCTGGCTCCTGGCTTTGCACTGGCGCAGCTCCAGCCATTGTGGCCATCTGGGGAGTGAACCAGCGGGTGGAAGCACTCACGCTTGCGCTCTCACTCTCTCTCTCTCCCTGCCTCTCTCCTTCTCTCTCTGTGTAACTCTGACTTCTAGATGGATGGATGGATGGATGGATGGATGGATAGATAGATAGATAGGAAGGAGGGAAGGAGGGAGGGAGGGAGGGAGGGAGGGAGGGAGGGAGGGAGGGAGGGAAGAAAAAGAAAGAGAGAGAGAGAGAGAAAGAAAGCTGGCACCGCGGTTCACTAGGCTAATCCTCTGCCTGCGGCACCGGCACCCCGGGTTCTAGTCCCTGTTGGGGCGCCGGATTCTGTCCTGGTTGCCCCTCTTCCAGGCCAGCTCTCTGCTGTGGCCCGGGAGTGCAGTGGAGGATGGCCCAAGTGCTTGGGCCCTGCACCCCATGGGAGACCAGGAGGAAGCACCTGGCTCCTGGATTTGGATCGGCGCAGCACGCTGGCCACAGCGGCCAACTTGGGGGTGAACCAACGGAAGGAAGACCTTTCTCTCTGTTTCTCTTTCTCACTGCCTAACTCTGCCTGTCCAAAAAAAAAAAAAAAAAAAAAAAAAAGACAGACAGATAGAAGGAAAGAAAAAGACGGACAGACGGACAGACAGACAGAGCTTTCGGCCAGTGTTGTGGCACAGCAGGGTCACGCGTCACCTGCAACACCAGCCTCCCATAAGGGCACTGGTTTGTGTCCCAGTTGCTCCACTTCTGATCCAGCTTCCTGCTACTGCGCCTTGGAAAGCAGAAGACGATCCAAGTACTTGGACTTCTGCCACCCACATGGGAGAACCAGAGTTCTAGGCTCCTGGCTTCGACCTGTCCAGCCCTGACCATGTATGGCCATCTGAGGGGTAAACCTGCAGATGGAAGCTCTCTCTGTCTCTCCCCTTCTCTTTCTGCAACCCTTGCAAATAAAATAAAGCTTCTAAAAATAAAAGAGAAATGTGATATTTAAAAGATATACATATATTATGGGTAAAATTACACATAAAACACAGTGTTACCCTTTCTAACCCCTCTCTATGTCACAGGTGAACACTTGGCTTTGGTCACACGTTGACGTCTACTTAAAGCCAAGTGCAGCAAGGTGCTGGATCCACTGTCACAGAACCTGCTCTGGGGCGGGCGCCAGCTCACTGTGGTCCTCACTCCCAGGCCCAACCTCCTAGAGGCCCCTGAAACTGACAAGGGGTGTCAAAGAGGGGCCCAAAAAGGACGCCCAAGCTCCCAGCTCCTGGCTTCAGCTCAGTCCGGCCCTGGCTGGGCAGCCGTCTGGGGAGTGAACCAGGGATCAAAGACCTCTTTCTCCCTCTGGTCCTATCTCCCTCTCACTTTTGCCTTTCAAAAATAAAATAAAATAAAATAAATACTGAAAAATAAACACAGGGGCCAGCGCTGTGGTATAGAAGGCTAAGCCTCCGCCTGCAGTGCCAGCATCCCGTTTGAGCACCAGTTCGAGTCCCGGCTGCTCCACTTCGGATCCAGCTCCCTGTTAATGTGCCTGAGAAAACACTGGAAGACGGCCCGAGTCCCTGGGCCCTGCACCCACGTGGGAGACCTGGAAGAAGCTCCTGGTTTTGGCCTAGACCCGACCACTGCAGCCATTGGGGAGTGAAACAGCAGATGAAGACCTCTCTGTCTCTCCTTTTCTCTATATGTAACTACGCCTTTCAAATACGTAACACACAAGTTTTTACAAAGAAATCAATACATACATACAGAGCCTTGCCTGACGCGGAGAGGCGGACGCCGCTGCAGACGTCAGAGTCGGCGTGGGGAGCCGGGAGGCCAGGCCTCAGCCGCCCGTGTGCACTCTCACTCTGCTACTACGCCAGGTTGTTGTTTTTCTTTTTAAAGATTTATTTACTTATTTGAATGGCCAAGTTAGAGAAAGGCAGAGACAGAGAAAGAGAGAGGGGTTTCCATCTGCTGGTTCACTCCCCAAATGGCCTCAATGGCTGGAGCTGGCCCAGTTGGAAGCCAGGAGCCAGGAGTTTCATCTGGGTCTCCCACGTGGGTGCAGGAGCCCCAGCACTTGGGCATCTTCTACTGCTTTCCCAGGCCACAGCAGGGAGCTGGATCGGAAGTGGACCAGCCGGGACTCGAACTGGAGGCCTGAGCAGCGGCTTTGCCTGCTGGGCCACAGCACGGGCCCAGGGACCAACTCCTGACTCACTTCACGGCCTGTGGGCACTGTGACACGTCCTACACAGTCTGCACGGAAGCAGCTGGGGCTCCTCACCCGCAGCCCCAGGGCGCCTCGAGACCACGTGAGCGGGAAAACCGCGGAGCGCAGCCTGCAGCCGAAACCGCTCTACTCACCCCCGGCACCGAAGTTGACGACGTACTGGGAGAACAGGGCGTCCAGCTCGTCATACTGCACCAGCGCGTCCTCGAACTGCTGCAGCATCTCAAACACGAAGGCGAGCTCCTCCTGCGCAGCAAGGCGACGCGGAACACAGAAATGAGCTCGCGGGGACCCGGACAGCACGCAGCACCGCGGGCGCACAGGCGGGCGGGCGGGCAGAGGCCGCAGGACGTGTGAGCGCCGGCGCAGCAGCAGCACTGGCCTCGCCCGGGCATCGCGGCCAGGTGCCCCCTGCATTCCTCCCCGCCCCTCTGTCCGCTCACGGCCCCTGTGCACCGAGGCCGTCTGCCGGGAGCCCCGCCTCAGCCCAGGCCCCCAGGACTTGTCTCTACACGCACCAGTCCCCACAGCGACCCTGGGCCGTGCAGACAGCGTGAGGCTCCAGCTGCACACGCCATGCTCGTCCCCAGGTCACGCGGGCCCCTCCAGACTGCACCCCGCCCCTCCCACCACGCAGACCCCTCCAGACTGCACCCCGCCCCTCCCACCACGTGGACCCCCCAGACTGCACCCCACCCCTCCCACATGGACCCCCCAGACTGCACCCGGCCCCTCCCACCACGTGGACCCCCCAGACTGCACCCCGCCCCTCCCACCACGCGGACCCCCCAGACTGCACCCGGCCCCTCCCACCACGCGGACCCCCCAGACTGCACCCCACCCCTCCCACCACATGGACCCCCCAGACTGCACCCGGCCCCTCCCACCACGTGGACCCCTCAGACTGCACCCCGCCCCTCCCACCACGCGGACCCCCCCCCCCAGACTGCACCCCGCCCCTCCCACATGGACCCCCCAGACTGCACCCCGCTCCTCCCACCACGCAGACCCCCCAGACTGCACCCCGCCCCTCCCACCACATGGACCCCCCAGACTGCACCCCGCCCCTCCCACCACACGGGCCCCCAGACTGCACCCCACCCCTCCCACTACACGGACCCCCCAGACTGCACCCCGCCCCTCCCACCACGTGGACCCCCCAGACTGCACCCGGTCCCTCCCACCACGTGGACCCCCCAGACTGCACCCCACCCCTCCTACCACACGGACCCCCCAGACTGCACCCTGCCCCTCCCACCACGTGGACCCCCCAGACTACACCCCGCCCCTCCTACCACGCAGACCCCTCCAGACTGCACCCCGCCCCTCCCACCATGCGGACCCCCCAGACTGCACCCGGTCCCTCCCACCACGTGGACCCCCCAGACTGCACCCCACTCCTCCCACCACGCGGACCCCTCCAGACTACACCCCGCCCCTCCCACCATGCGGACCCCCCAGACTGCACCCGGCCCCTCCCACCACGTGGACCCCCAAGACTGCACCCCGCCCCTCCCACCACGCGGACCCCTCCAGACTACACCCCACCCCTCCCACCACGCAGACCCCTCCAGACTGCACCCCGCCCCTCCCACCAGCCAAGCCCCCAAGGGACCCCAGCCCCTCCTAGTGCCGACTGAGTTTACTCTCAGCTCCCGGAACCTTGGCACTGACACTCCCCCTCCCTGCAGAGCCCCACCCGTCTAGGAGCCTCCTACCAGGCCCGCTCATCTACTGCCTCCGACCCTCCCCTCCACAGTGCCTTCAGAGCAGCCCCCTGCCCGTCCTCACCCCGCACCCGAGACCGCCATGCTTCGGGGCCCTGGCATTCGCAAGCTCGTTCCTGGGTTGCTGTAGACTCCTGATCTCGCCCAGAACCCACACGGCTGTGTGGCCTACACAGGGGCCCCGAATTTACTGCAGGAGGGCGTGGAAGGACCGTGGGTGACCGTCCCACTCCCACACATCAAACACGGACAACCAGGAGGACGCCGTGCGGGAGCCTGCATGCTGACCTCGCGGTGCTGCACCGGCTGACGGGAGACGCCGAGAGGCTGGTCACACCCACAGGCCAGCTCCCGGCTGCTGCTGGGGGAGGCAGAGCCCGGCTTCCCCACCCGCGTCACGGAGCCTGTGTGAGGGCTGCGGCACCTTTTCCCGCCGGCCCCCGCCCGAGCAGCGGGGCAGAAACACAGGCCGTGAGGGCCCTGTGCTGCCGGGGGTTCAGGAGGGACTGCTCAGTCACCTGCGGCTTCTTTCTCTTTGTGAAGCATTTTCAAGGCTCAGCACTCCCATAAGCTCATTTCTCCTTTAACTGTAATAAAATACACTTCAGACTGACCATCCTAACCATGTTCTAGTGTGCAGCTCAGTGGTGTTCACACAATTACGCTGCTGTATACCAACTCCGGAACTTCCCATCTCCCCAAACTGGAGTTGTCAACACTCCCAAGCCCCACTGCCTCCGCGCCTGGCATGCGCTAGGCGCCTTGGTCCCTGCCAGCTCGCAGTGCCATCCTGTGTCACTGGCCTGCTTCACCTAGCACAGCCTCGTCCACACCCATCCCTGCCGCAGCCTGTGCCAGGAGTTCCTTCCTTGCTCAGTTTCAAATCTGAACTAATTTCAGACTCGCAGAAACACTGCAAAAAATGTAATTCATGGCCGGCGCCGCGGCTCACTAGGCTAATCTCCTCCGCCTGCGGCGCCAGCACCCCAGTTCTGTCCCGGTTGCTCTTCTTCCAGTCCAGCTCTCTGCTGTGGCCCGAGAGTGCAGTGGAGGATGGTCCTGCACCCACATGGGAGACCAGGAGGAGGCACCTGGCTCCTGGCTTCAGATCAGCGCAGCGCGCCAGCCGTAGCGGCCATTTGGGGGTGAACCAACGGAAGGAAGACCTTTCTCTCTGTTTCTCTTTCTCTAACTCTGCCTGTCAAAAAAAAAAAAAAATGTAGATTCCACATCACCCTTGCCTCAGCGTCCTCCAACATCCACACCTTCTCTAACCACAGCAAAATCATCAAATGAACATGGGCACAATGCTGGCAAGGCAGTGCTGCCCCGGAGGCGCTGTCCTGCTCCAGGGGCCTGGCCAGAGCCCACGCCGGCCCACAGCGCCGGCCCCTCGCCTCCTGCCGCTCCCCACCGTCTCCGTCTTTCTTCCTTGGAGCAGAGCCGGAAGTTTCTGTCTGACGGCCCTCAGCGTAGCCTCACTTGATTCTTCTGCAGAGAGAGGCTCGTGTGGCTTTCGCTGTGCCTCTCGCCCAGTGACGTGTCTCACGTGGAGGTGCTGGCGAGCCCTGGGCACCCCGGGGAAGCACCGTGGCAGCCTCTGCGCTGAGCCTGGGCAGGGTCGGCTGAGGGGCTGGCAGGCCCTGAGACTGCCTCCCCTCAGGCCTCACCCACCTCCCACGGTGCCGGCTCAGCAGGTGCCTCTCTGTCCTTCTCCACTATTAACTGGGACTCTCGTGTGGAAGACAGAAACCTCCCCTCCGTGTGCTCAGGCTAACCAACCACGTGTGTCAATACAGACACACGGGTACTCATCACTCCTGGGGTTAAGATCCAGCTCTGCCGCGACCTGGTCTCTGAAACTCCCCACGGGCCCTCGGGCTCCCCCGGCGGTGCTGCGCTTGCCAGCGGCTCCAGCTCTCCGCGTGCAGCTCCTCAGTGGCCGGTCCTACCCGCACCCACAGCCCCGTCCTGCGTCTCCCACCCAAGCCCTGTAATCCGCCTCTCCTCCTCTCATTGGAGAATGGAGGCCAGGCACCAAGACCCGGGCACCAGGTTTGCTTCTTGCCCCGAGGACACAGCAAGGAAACACTGGTGCTAACACGTACTAACATGTATCCACCCTCACACACAGCTCCATTCCCCAGTCTACTCCCGGCGGCCCGAGGCCTCGGGGTGGGCACCTGCGCAGCGGTCAGCCGCTGCAGGGGCCTGGTCCAAGGCCCAGCTGCTCTGCTCTGCGCCAGCCTCCTGCTGAGGTGCACCCTGGGAGGCAGCGCTGAAGGCCCCGTGCTCAGGTCTCGGCCACGCACGTGAGACCCAGAGTTCAGGCTCCTGGCTTCAGCCTGGCACAGCCCTGGCTGTTGCTGGCATCTGGGGAGTGAACCAGCAGATGGAAGATTTCTCTGCCTTGATGTCTTTTAGATAATAAAAAGGAAAGAAATTTTTAAAAAAGAAAAGAAAATCACGTCACGCATGGGTCCACAGGACGCAGCAGGAAGGAGTGGGCCATCGGTCACACAGGGCTTAGAAGCAGGGTCCAGACCCCAGCAGACCACCCTCCCAAACCCTGCAGAAGTGAGCCTCAAATAAGAAATCAAAATCAAAATCCAAAGTCCTAATAGAGCGAGTCTCTCATTTATTCAAACGGCGTGACTTCCTTAGTAACAGCCACAACCGACACCTCGATGTGAAAATCAGGCTTTTTCACTCGGAACACGGAGATTAAGAGCCGGCAAGCAAGGCGACGCCCCCATCACTCTCCGGAGGGTAGGAAGGCTCCTGCCCCCAGAAACTCGCCACATCCCTTTGTTCACCTAGGACTTTTCTTAAATGGGAAAAAGAGCTGATCACAAACACAATTTAAAATCCTACACATCTCTGTAAATTGCAGTTCGAAATGGCTTCCCCCAAGCTTAGCGGGGCCCAGGTTCTACAGCTAACGTGCACAGCAGATGCTCCCAGGAGGCCTCGTTCAGCACAGTGCCTGGCAGGTGGAGCCCTCACGCGGCTGGAGCCTCCGCCTAGGTCACGTGGACACCCCAGGGCTCTCCGAGGCCCAGGCCGGCGCTGGGCTCCGCGGCAGCCGGAGCTGTGAGCGGGATGTCCCTGCCTCTGACCTCTGACCTCTGCTCTGGCTACTCCTCCCTGTGTTGTCAGGGACTAAGCCTGGAAGAAACACTGAGCGTGTGAGCTCCCTTGTTGAGAGAGGAGGAGGGGCGGCCAGCAGGAAGCCGTCTGGCTCTGCCGCCGGTCAAGTACCTGAACCATGAAATATTCACAAAAGCTCCAGCCAGGCTCGGTCCTCTTCTCCCGCAAGGTCCTCATGTCGTCCTCGAACTTGCCCAGGTTTTTGGTGAAAGACATCAGCAGCAGCGTCCTGAGCTTGGTCAGGAAGGCATTCCAGGATTCCTGAGTTCTGGAAGAGTCCTTCAGGGGGTCGGAGAGCACAACGCACCTGTGAAGACAGGAAGGGACGTCTGCAGAGACCCCTCGGGCCCGCCCGCCATGGCCGGCTTCAGCCAGCCAGCTCAGGGTCGCGGAGCGCAAGGCGGGTCTGCCGCAGGCCCCAGACCGGGAGGGCTTTACCACGCGCCTCGGCCGGCCGGCGCCCAGGGCTCTCACCGGCCTGGCCTCCGGAGCCCTCGCTCTCCCACCCGCAGGGCAGGGTTCAGCCCGGCTGCTGCTGGGTGCTCCCACGCTCCCCCAGCCCAGCCAGCAGACGCAGGGCTACTGAAGTGCAGGCAGTGACCACAGGCTTGGCACCCAGCTACAGGCGGAGGACTGACACCGCTTAGCCAAGGAGACCGCAGCCGGTGTCAGCCAAGTCAGTTACAAGACAGCTTCCAGCGCACGCGGAAAAGGCCACCCACTCGTCTAACGGGTTGGAAATGGTCTCTCTCTAGCCTGGTAACTGTAATTTAGAAAGACAGTGAATAAATCCGAGAAAATATTTGAAAACACGGCTGTAACGTTCTCCTAGGTAAACATTTAACCTGAGGTGTCTCCATCCGTGCCCGGGATAGCCCAGGGGGTTGGCGACAGCCACACAACCACACACATCTGCAGACATGGGCAAAGTCCCAGCACAGGCACAATCAAAGCCAAGAGGAAAACCAGAACCGGGCAGCTGGCTCTAATTCTGGCCCGCCCATCCCACTGGCTACCGCTTCCGCCCAAGGAACCCGAGGGCCACAGCCAGTGTGCTCCCAAAGCTGGGAGGCCCAGAGCTATACACATCTGCCACTCACTGTGGGCGCTGCTGGGGCCAGGGCTCTCGGGACGACGGCCACACTGGGCTCTCCCACACACCCGCGGGGCGGCTGGGCGTGGAACGGACACACACACTCGCTACACTCTCTACCTTCTACTACGCCCTCCACCTTGCACTACCGCTAGGTGGCCATCATCTTCCCGCTGTAATAAAACTTACTATGCTTGAGAAACACACCAAGGTGAGAGCGCGAGCGAGCCCAGATCAGCCAGTGAGTGCAGGGGAGGGCACACGCGGGGGGGGGGGGGGGGGGGACACCGCCCACACAGCGGCTCACAGGGAGCCCCTGGCTGGAGGCTCAGCCAGGCAGGCCCTGGGTCTGCGACTGGCACAAACCATCAAAAGTCAGTCCTCAGATGACCAAAAACATGAAAAAATGCACACAATTTTTGGCCAACCAATTTTCCTTAAGAAATTTATATACAGGAAATAATCAAGGATATTCAATAGCACTTGATGTTGGTAATATTGTTATTTGTAATAATAACTACGCAATAACCTATAAACAACTCACGGGGCCGGCGCCATGGCACAGGAGGCCCAGCTGCTACTCGCGACACCCACATCCCCTACAGAGGACCAACTTAAGTCCCAGCTACTCTGTCCAATCCAGGTCCCTCTGCTGGGAAGGCAGCGCGAGACAGCCAAGCACCTGGGCCCCTGCACCCACGTAGGAGAGCAGGATGGAGCTCCTGGCTCCTGGCTGCAGCCTGGCTCAGTTGTGGCTGCTGCAGTCGTTTGGGGCATGAACCAGTAGATGGAAGATCTCTGTCTCTCCCTCATTCTCTGTTGCTCTGCCTTTCAAATAAACAAACAAATAAAAATCTCTTAAAAATACCTATGCTACATCAACACTATGGAATATTATATACTCACAATAATAGTACAGAAATACAATTACTGTTCTTGGAAAATTTTTAGAACATTTTCATGGAAAAACAAGTATGAAACATGTACAGTATTATACCACTTTAAATATACACGTGGGTATGTATGCACGGTAAGAAAAAAGCCCAGGACACACACCAAAACACTGAGAGTTACTACCCATTTTCTTTTTGCTCATTCCTTTTTCCTAATAATTCTATAATGATTATATAATTAATCAAACATTAAACACAAGTACAGGCCAGTGCTGTGGCGTAGTGGGTAAAGCTGCCACCTGCAGCGCCAGCATCCCACATGGGCGCCAGTTCTAGTCCTGGCTGATCCACTTCCGATCCAGCTCTCCGCTGTGGCCTGGGAAAGCAGCAGCAGATGCCCGAGTGCTTGGGCCCCTGCACCCGCGTGGGAGACCCGGAAGGAGTTCCTGGCTTCGGATCAGGGCAGCTCCAGCCGGTGGAGCCAAATGGGGACTGAATCAGCAGATGGAAGACTTTTCTCCCTCTCTCTGACTCTCTTCTCTCTCTGTGTAATTCTTTCGAATAAATAAATAAATCTTAAAAAAAGAAAACAAAAGTACAAAGTAAGCCACATCAGGGCTACATGTTCCAAACTATTCAAAGGGCAGAAATTATACTGTGTAATAAAGAAACTGTCAATACACTCTACTAATTTAAAAATTAAGAGAACAGGCCCAACTATTTATGTTTAAAAAGAGATCTGATAAAAGGTGGCTTTTCAAATTAACAAAAGGCAATATGGTAGAAAGCACCTTTAACCTACTGAAGATTAAATGTTAACAAGTTCAGTAAGTTAAATTTTATGTATTAAAAAGGCATTAAGAAGCAGCTAAGTAGGCTAAGGGTGTGGGGAGCAACTGGGAGCAACTCGGACTAGACTAAGTTACTGGAATTAAGACTTGTTCTATGCATCTGCTCTCCCACAATATGGCGCTGGGAGAGAAGAAAACAGCTTTTACACAGCTGCCTCCAGTTCAGCCAATAAACTGTAGGACTTGCTCCTGATTGGAGGAGAGCAGCATGCTCGGCGTGTGGGCAGCCGAGTTGGGATTGGCAGAGGAGGACTATAAAGGAGGAGAGAGACAGCATGCACCAGGAACATCTAAGAGGAACATCTATCTGAAGGAACACCTGTGCAGCCCCCGAGAGAGCCGGCCGGCGGTGTGCCACTCCCCTGCGGAAGTGGGGAAAGTGGCAGGGGGAACCGCCCTTCCACGGAGGTGGAAGGGACAGTAGCCAACCCGGGAAGAACCAGCAGCAAACCCGGGGAGGGCCGAGCAGACGAAAGAACAGCGCAGGGTCCTGTGTCGTTCCTCCACGAAGATGGGGAGCGACATAATGGTGCCGTGACTCGGATAGGAAGCCTAGGCAGGGTTTAGTGTCGTTCCTCCATGAAGAGGGGGAGCGACAAAGGGGAAGCATGCTTTTTAACACAGAGCTAAAAATAATCAACAGGCACTTTAAAAAATCATTATACAACGTGAACAGTTCAGAAATGCCGAGTGATACACCCCATTACCACCAGCTGCCCCTCTCAACAGAACCCTGAACATGAGGCGTGGGCCCGCACGCTCTCCCGGCCCGGCCCAAGCCTCGGGGCGCTGGGCACCTGCACTGGCCCCACCCCGCCCCTCTCAGCACAGAAACCTCCACCTGCCTGACCACAGCGGGGAAGGCCCTGGCCCAGGCAGCGCCTTGGGAAAACGCTGACTCACTGAGGAATAACGCACTTCAGGAAAGCCTCCCCAAGTCCAGAGTGCGTGAACTCTGAGCTGAGCTGCTAAGTGCACGTGTTGACACCACCCGTGCCCGCATGCCGTGGAACACGACAAGGACGCCACTGAGGAGCTGAGGAGTGGCAAGGGTGAGGCTGGCGCAGCACAGGGCCACGTGGCTGGCACTCAGCTGCCTCTCCTGCTCCCTCCTCCTGGCTTCCTGCATTTCTTGTCCACCCCCAGGGCACTTCCTTCAGCCCACAGAGCTCAGCTCTCCCAGCCCTGGAGCCGCCCATCAGGGCCACTGCCATGTGGGAACCCGGGATGACAGGGTCCGGGATCAGCACTGCTCCCAGGGCACCGGCAACACCAGAGTTCGTGCGCGGGCTGGCCCAGCTTGGGGCCGCGGCACTGAGGAGGGAGGACGCAGCAGGGCAGGCCGAGGGAAAGCAGTGCACGCTTCTCAACGCTTCTGGAAGGGTGAAGCCAGCCTTCTGTAGCCCACACTGCTCTGCAGGGCACTAGACAGGTGTTCAGGAAACAGAGGCCGGCGCTGTGCTGCAGCGGGTAAGGCTGCCGCCCCCAGTGCCAGCATGCCACATGGGCGCCAGTTCAAGTCTCGGCTGCTCCACTTCCGATCCAGCTCTCTGCTATGGCCTGGGAAAGCAGTGGACGATGGCCCAAGTCCTTGGGCCCCTGCACCCTCCTGGGAGACCCAAAAGAAGCGCTTGGCTTCGGATCAGATCAGCTCTCGCCGTTGCAGTCCTTTGGGGAATGAACCAGAGGGTGGAGAACCTTTCTCTCTCTCTGCCTGCCTTTCTCTCTCTGCATAACTCTGACTTTCAAATAAATAAATAAATCTTTAAAAAAAAAAAAAAAGTAACAGAAACACAGGGCCCCAGAGCTAGAAACAAGCGTGTCTGATACAGGACTCCAGAGTCCTCACTGGGGGCCGCCAGGGGCCCCCCTGGTGGGGGACCTCCCCAGGGCCCTGCCCCCAGGAGTGCACCTTGGGATGGCAGACTGTACACCCTGCCATGAAGACAGGGACCAGGCACCCACCCCCGCTCGCCAGAGACCCCAGCACCAGCCAATGACGCAAGACTGCAGATGCACTTACCTGTCACTCTGCTTGTTACAGAAGTCATTTCTCATCTTGTCCGCAATCGAAGTGCGGGGAAGGATGTTGGTTTTGTTTTTTTTCTTGGCGTCATTTTCGACGACCACTATTAACCAGTCCACAGAGCTATGAGCTTTCAGGACGTTCTGCCACTTGGTGAGGTCATCTTTTACTGTGGCCTTGTACACTTCAGTATCCTAAAAAAAAAGTCACCATGCTTTAATTTACAGGTAAAAGGTGTCCAGTAACAAGTGGCCACAATGTATCAGGACAGGGGAAGCAGGCACTGAGGGTCAGAGGGCTAGGCTCCCATGGCAGTACTGTGGGCAAGTTCAAGTGTCCACTGCAACCTGCCAGGGCTGAAGGCCCTGCTGGGGGTCTCAGGCCACGTGCAGCACCCCTGCAGCCCTTCCTGGAAGCTTCTGCCCATGTCCCAGCTCTCTGGGAGCCCTGGGGAGCCACCCCAAGCTCAGTGGCCTATGCAGGCCACGTAAGGGGCAAGCAAGGCAGGTGCCAACAGAAAGCCAGAGGAAGAGGCCGCTCCACCGTCTCGGTGCCACACTATGCCCGGCAGGAGGGACCTGCCTGGGCCTGAAGGTCATCCCGCGTCTCACTCCGAGCCCGACGTGAGCATTTCTCCTGCGTAAGAGCGAGTAGTTCAGCTCAGTTCTCTCCCAGACGTCTCCCTTGCTACCCGCTCCCTGGATGAACTGCCTTCTGCTCCATAACCCCCTTGGCAGATTCTAACTCACTTCAAACCCAGTAACCCTGTACACACCTCCTGCTCCCGTCTCTTCTCTGGTTCCAGTCACTACCGCATAACGCCCCAGGGCACACATGCTCTGCTGACTGACCCCCAGTCAGAGCCCCCATTCTATACCCAGTCTCACTTTCAGTTTAATTCAGAAAGCATGAGATTTCAAAAGGAAGCACTTCTCATTTTTACCCTAACTTTAAAAATTACTATCTGAGGTTTAAATTAGAAAAAAAAATAATATTTAAAAGCTGAGAGGCCAACCATCTTAAAAAATCAATTATCAGGGCTGGCACTGTGGCACAGCAGGTAAAGCCACTGCCTGCAGTGCCATCATCCCATATGGGCACCGGTTCAAGCCCCGGCTGCCCCACTTCCCATCCAGCTCTCTGCTGTGGCCTGCGAAAGCAGTAGGAGATGGCCCACGTCCTTGGCCACCCAAGTCCTTGCACCCGTGTGGGAGACCCGGAAGAAGCTCCTGGCTCCTGGCTTCAGATCGGCACAGCACAGTTCTGGCCGTTGCAGCCATCTGGGGAGTGAACCAGCCGATGGAAGACCTCTCTTTCTCTCTCTCCCTCCCTCCCTCCCTCCCTCCCTCTCTCTCTCTCTCTCTCTCTCTCGTGTGTGTGTGGTGTGTGTGTGTGTGTGTGTGTGTGTAACTCTGACTTTCAAATAAATAACTTTTTTTTACCAAAAAAAAAAAAAAGGTCACCTTAAAATAATCCATTTTCAGCAACTAAACATCCAATAGGAATGTAGCCACACTCCGCACTTTTCCACAGAACACACTATGCCGATGTGCTGGTGCAGCTCCAAGACACCACACACACTGTGCCTGGAAGCAAACCCAGAGGCTCAGGGCCGCCAGCCCTGGAGGAGCAGCACCCGGGCTCGGTCCCAGAGTGTATGCTGCTGCCGCAGGAGCTGTGCCCACCCCACCCGGAAGAGGCCTGGGACGGCACAGGCAGGACACAGACGTGGGAGACGTGACAGCACAGGGCCAGGGGCACTGGGAGACGTGACAGCGCAGGGCCGGGGCACTGGGAGATGTAACAGCACAGGGAGCCAGCCAAGTGCAAGGCTGGGCTGTCCACTCAGGGATCATGGTGGCAGAGAGGAAGGTGCTCCTCCCAGGGCGTGGGGAAAGGTGGGGGTGCAAGAAGCAAACCTATGGAGGAAAATGAGCGCCTGACCTCTGTCAGAGAAGGGTGTCCCAGGTACAGAGAGGGCAGGGCCAGGCAGGCACTGGACCGAGCACACAGGGGTCCCGGGTACAGAGAGGGCAGGGCCGGGCAGGCACAGGACCGAGCACACAGGGGTCCCGGGTACAGAGAGGGCAGGGCCGGGCAGGCACAGGACCGAGCACACAGGGGTCCCGGGTACAGAGAGGGCAGGGCCGGGCAGGCACAGGACCGAGCACACAGGGGTCCCGGGTACAGAGAGGGCAGGGCCGGGCAGGCACAGGACCGAGCACGCACACAGCCCCTGGCCGCGACGTGAGCATGGACGCGGACGTGCGTGAGTGCGCCAGTGCCTCTCTCCATGCTCTCCAGATGCGGCCGCGGCCCAGAGCACACCGGAGTGCAGCTTCCACACCCCAGGGGCCCTGGGAGAAACAGAATGGGACCAGGACGGTGAGGTGAGCCCCAGCACCTGTGTGGAGGCGTCAGCGCGGACGTGCAGTTCTAGAGGTCACAGGAGCCGAACGCGGGACAGCTTCTGCATCAGAGCACGTGAGGGCAGCAACAGACGACAGCCCAGTGAGAGCGCAGCGGGACTGACAGCACACAGTACCAGTAACAGGACGTGGTGCTTGCAGCCCAGATCGTGACGGGGCTGAGTCACGGCTCAGGCCCCACGCCCCTGTGGAAACGCTGGCTGACGTCCCAACTACTCAGCTTCTGATCCAGCTTCCTGCTAATGCGACTGGGAAGGCAGCCCAAGTACTGCGTCCCTGACACCACATGGGAGACCGGATGGAGACGCTGGCCGCTGTCTGCAGCCCGACCCCATCCTGGCTACTGCAGTCACTTGCAGACTGAACAGCAGACGGAAGCTCTCTCTCCCTCCACCTCTCTCTACCACTCTACGTTTCAAATAAATAAACAAAAATTTATAATGAAAAAAAAAACACAACCATAATGGGGCAGCAGGACTTGGGCTGGAGGTTAAGAAGCTCCTGACCCAGCTTCACGCTGATGCTGCCCCGGGAGGCAGTGCTGACGGCTCAGGTAACGGGTTCCTGCCACGCGGGGAGACCTGGACTGTGTCCTGGCGCCTGGCCTCTGTCTGGTCCCAGCCCAACTCTGGCCGTTGTGGGCACTCGGGGAACAAGCCCGCAGAGGGAAGATCTCGATCTGACACTAAAAAAATTTTTTAAATAATGTACTGTTTGAAACAAAACTAATCCTAGCCGGTGCCGTGGCTCAGTAGGCTAATCCTCCGCCTTGCGGCGCCGGCACACCGGGTTCTAGTCCCGGTCGGGGCGCTGGATTCTGTCCCGGTTGCCCCTCTTCCAGGCCAGCCCTCTGCTGTGGCCAGGGAGTGCAGTGGAGGATGGCCCAAGTGCTTGGGCCCTGCACCCTATGGGAGACCAGGAGAAGCACCTGGCTCCTGCCAGGATCAGCGCGGTGCGCCGGCTGCAGCGGCGGCCATTGGAGGGCGAACCAAAGGCAGAGGAAGACCTTTCTCTCTGTCTCTCTCTCTCACTGTCCACTCTGCCTGTCAAAAATAAATAAATAAATAAATAAATAAATAAATAAATAAATAAAACTAAACCTACACTGTGGGGTTTACAATAAATAACAGCGGGGACTGGGGGAGCAGGAGTTCAGCGGCTGTGGACACCAAACTCCAAACGCTCAAGTCCCCTCGTGAAACAGTGCAGTGCTACACAGAGCCACAAACATCGTGGCGTGCAGGTTACTCCAGCCAGCACCACACCAGTGCGCCGCACATACTTGTCAGCAGGAAAACACTACGAGGCTGCGATTCCCTCTGCGGCTGGTGGGACCCGCGGCTGCAGCAGGGTCAACCGAACACTGCAAGGCTCTACACCACGTCACGTGAGGCCTGCAGAGGCACACCGGGGCCCCACCACAGCCCCGACAGACCCAACACAGGACCTTCATTAGTCCAAAACCCGCAACAGCATCCACTTATCTTAGAAGTCGTTTTGCCAAACAATAAGGAAAAAAAAAAAAAAGATGGCCAGCGCCATGGCGTAGCAGGTAAAGCCACCGCCCGCTGTGCCGGCATCCCATATGGGCACCAGTTCGAGTCCCAGCTGCTCCACTTCCAATGCAGCTCTCTGCCGTGGCCTGAGAGGGCAGCAGAAGATGCCCAAGTGCTTGGGCCCCTGCACCCGCATGGGAGACCTGGAGAAGCTCCAGGCTCCAGGTTCCTGGTTCCCAGCTTCAGATCAGCCTGGCTCTGCTGTTGTGGCCATTTAGGGAGTGAACCAGTGGATGGGAGATCTTTGTCTCTGTCTCTCCCTCTTTCTGTCTGTAACTCTCTCAAATAAATAATTATTTAAATGTTGCCCTATCAAAAATACAAAAAGGGCAGGATATTAAAAAAAAAAGGCTTCCTGCTAGAACATAATTATTTCGAAAGTCAGTGTTATGGGGAGAGGGTGCTGTGGCAGAATGGGTAAAGCTGCTGCCGGCAGTCCCTGCATCCCATATGGATGCCAGTTCAAGTCCCAGCTGCTCCACTTCCGATCCAGCTCTCTGGGAAAGCAGCAGAAGATGGCCCAAGTCCTCAGGCCCCTGCACTGGCGTGAGAGACCAGGAAGAAGCTCCTGGTGCAGCTCTGGCCATTGCAGCTCATAGAAGACACGCCTCCCCACCCTCCCCTTTCTCTCTGTCTGCCACTGCCCCTCTGTAACTCCCCCTTTCAAATAAATATATGAACCTTTTAAAAAATTGGAATGGTTATGAACACCTTGTACCAGGTAACACATCAACCATCTAGCCAACAGAGAAGCTACGGAGACACAAGAGAAACAGAAACACACTAATAATAAATGACTTTATCACGCCATTATCAGTTACAGACAGACGAAACAGACAAAAATGTGTAGACGCCATCTTATGGACACACGTGTCGCACTGCCGTCAGCAGCAGAACGGACTGCTGCACACAGACTATCCACAGGCACTGATGCCATATCAGGTCAAAGCACACATGAGGCCCACGAAGCAAAACACCCCAGACAACACTTTCTCATCCCAATGAGTAAGACCAGAAAATGTTAAATGAAATTTAAAAAAAATTTTTCTCTCTAGAAACTAAAAAATTCCATTAAATGAGTATTGGCTAAAAGTAAAAATACAAATAGAAGATGGAGAATTTCTGAAAAATGATAAAACACTGGGATATATTTCAGGTAATAATAAGAGGAAAATTCATTAACTTTGAAGATTTAAATTTTAAAAAGAATGAAAATAACTATAAACAAAACTTAAAAATATAAAAACAAAATAAATCATAAGAAAACAAAAAGAAGGAATAAAAACGAACATAGAAATTGAGATAGAAAACATATTAATAATAAATCAGAGTAACAAAAATTCCAGCACTCTGAAGAAAGCAAGCAAGACCACTAGAAACATAGACAAAGCAGAAAACAATGAAGGAGAAATAAGTGTGACACAAAGCACAGCTTTTTTAAATTTTCATTTTTTATTTGAGAGGCAGAAACAAATAGAGAAGGAAGAGACAGACACGGAGAGAGCTCTGCCACGGAGTCCGCTCAGCGTGGACCGGGCCAAGCCCAAGCCAGGAGCTGGGAGCTCCCCGGCCTCCGCCCGCAGTCACCGCGCCACCTCCAGTGCCCGCAGGGTGAGACCAGCAGGCGCTCGAGCCTGGAGCTGCAGCCAGGTGCTGAGCGTCACTACCGAGGCGCACGGCTCCTCCTGACAGCTGACCGCAAAGCTAAACGCCCACCCCACATTTTTTTTTTTCATTTTCTAATCTGCCTTTTCCAGAAAAAGAGAGAGAGAGAGAGACACGCATGCGAAGTGTGGATTCCCATTTGAAGTTCACTCGTCAAGTGCCAATAGCCATGGTGGGTCTGTGCTGAGCCGAAGTTGGAAACCAGGCCCAGAACGCACCTCTGCTACATGGAGGCAGGTACCCAATGACTTGAGCCATTTCTGCCGTCTCCAGCGGGGGAAGTCAGACGCCAGCATCAGGAACCACAACCAGGGGCTACAGTGTGGGTGTGGGGTCACAGTATGGGGTGTGGGGTCACAGTGTGGGTGTGGGGTCACAGTGTGAGGTGTAGTGACACAGTCTGGGGTGCAGGGGAAGTGTCTTTACCACTCGGCTTAATGCCTGCTCCCACAAAATACATTTATGGTTTTTTTTTTGACAGGCAGTTAGACAGTGAGAGAGAGAAAGAAAGGTCTTCCCTCCGTTGGTTCACCCCCCAAATGGCCGCCATGGCCTGCGTGCTGCTCCGATCCAAAGCCAGGAGCCAGGTGCCTCCTCCTGGTCTCCCATGCGGGTGCAGGGCCCAAGCACTTGGGCCATCCTCCACTGACTTCTTGGGCCACAGCAGAGAGCTGGACTGGAAGAGGAGCAACCGGGACAGAATCCAGCGCCCCAACTGGGACTAGAACCCGGCGTGCTGGTGCCCCAGACGGAGGATTAGCCTAGTGAGTCGCGGCGCCGGCCCCCACAAAACACATGTAAAAGTCAGGAAGATCGGCTGGCGCCGCGGCTCACTAGGCTAATCCTCCACCTTGCAGTGCCGGCACACCAGGTTCTAGTCCCAGTCGGGGTGCCGGATTCTGTCCCGGTTGCCCCTCTTCCAGGCCAGCTCTCTGCTGTGGCCAGGGAGTGCAGTGAAGGATGGCCCAAGTGCTTGGGCCCTGCACCCCATGGGAGACCAGGAGAAGCACCTGGCTCCTGCCATCGGATCAGCGTGGTGCGCCGGTCGCGGCGGCCATTGGAGGGTGAGCCAACGGCAAAGGAAGACCTTTCTCTCTGTCTCTCTGTCCACTCTGCCTGTCAAAAAAAAAAAAAAAGTCAGGAAGATCACGCTGTACATCTCAATAAAAAACAATTTTAAAACTCAACAGAAAGGCACACTACCTAAGGAAAACACAGGTTATCAAAGTCGACAGCTGTCTGAAACAGACCACTTTCCAGGGAAGCACCAGGAACTGTGCCCCAGAGACGCCACAGTCCAGACGGTGTCACCGGGGAGCCCCCCACCCTGAGGACGGGGGCTGCACACTGTGCCAATCCCCGCATAGCCCAGCGGGCCCTGAGAGGGCGGCCCTGCTGCAGGCCCCGGCGTCTTCTGCTGCCACAGTCAGAAGCACCCAAAGACACAAGGGCCGGCCTGAAGTGGCCCTCACTGGCATCGATGCAGAACACGGGCTGACCACACCGGCAGGGAGGGGCTGGCTGCCCTGATAAAGGTGGGGCAGGAAAGAGCCATCTGTGTCGGGGCGATGCTCGGGGCTGAGCCCCACAGACACCTGTGAGACGAGAACTGAGGGGTCACGGAGAGCCCCTCCCCCGAGGCCCCACCACCAGGGAAACAAGGACCTCACTGGGCCTCTGCTGCCTGCACAGTGTGGTCTGTGCTGAGCCCCTGCTGCAACTGGACCACAGGCGTCAGGACAGCGACACCCAGAGTACAGCAGGTCAAACAACCGACACCAGTGCCACTGGGGCCACAGGCAGAGATGTGCTGGACAGGCGGGCACACGTGCACAACCGCAGACCCCTGGAGGGTGGAGGAAAGCGAGCACCGGAAGTCAGAGCAGCTGCGGCTCCAGCCGGAGCCGGGGGCCTGCAGGCCCTGCCCCGCGGACACTTACGCAGCACTCGGTCCAGTAAATGTGCAGGAAGGGGAACGTGAGCAGCGCCTTGTTCCCCTCCTTGGGCAGCAGCTCCTCCTTGAACTGAACGAAGTTGGATTCCAGGTGGATCATCTTGGGAGCCCGGCCGTAGGACCTGTAACAGATTTTTATTTTTATTTTTTACGTAACTGAGAAGAAAAACTCCCAAGGCGCAACAGAAATAAAAAATCAGAATTCAACCACATTTGGGTTCCTAAGTTTTACCGCATGCGGCCTGAGCCCTCACTGCCGTGTTCTCCACACGGCCACCCGCCGGGCCCGAGCTCCTCGCCACCTCAGCAACACGCACACAGCCGTGCACCCACCGAGCGCCACACCTGAGAGCCAGCTCAGCCTGTCCGTCTCCACGAGCAACCCTAACACCACACGTGCATGCAAGTCGCTACATCACCGAAAAAATGAAATTATTTGGTGACAAAAGAACAGGATTTGTACAAATAAAATGTGGTACACCTCGCTTTGCTTCTCAACCTAGGAAGAAAGGACCGGACTCATCAAGAAATCCCAGCTACACACCCGCCACAGAGGCGCCGGGGGACGGGCACAGCGCACCTGCCACAGCGGCCGCCGGGGGACGGGCACAGCGCACCTGCCACAGCGGCCGCCGGAGGACGGGGCACGGCGGCCGCCGGGGGTCGGGGCACAGTGCACGGCGGGCCACCAGGGGAATGGGCACAGCGTACCTGCCACAGCGGGCCACCGGGGGAACAGGCACAGCACACCTGCCACAGCGGGCCACCAGGGGACAGGGCACAGTGCACAGTGGGCCGCCAGGGGACGGGGGACAGGGCACAGCGCACCTGCCACAGCGGCCGCCGGAGGACGGGGCACAGCGCACGGCGGCCGCCGGGGGTCGGGGCACAGTGCACGGCGGGCCACCAGGGGAATGGGCACAGCGCACCTGCCACAGCGGGCCGCCGGGGGAATGGGCACAGCGCACCTGCCACAGCGGGCCGCCAGGGGAATGGGCACAGCGCACCTGCCACAGCGGGCCGCCAGGGGAACGGGCACAGCGCACGGCGGGCCACCAGGGGAATGGGCACAGCGCACCTGCCACAGCGGGCCGCCGGGGGACGGGGCACAGCGCAAGGCGGGCTGCCGGGGGACGGGGCACAGGGGTCTGCTCCAGGCCTGCATTCTGCCTGTGTTGGCTGTGTCTTCCACTCACACCTGCAGCTGGATTTGGCGTGTTGTATGCAATCTAAGGTGGGTCACGGCCTGCCGTGCGGACCGTGGCTGCGCGCACGTTTGGACCTGTGTGTGCTCCGTGTGCCGGCACCCGTCTCCTGCCCTTTCTGACAGTGGTCACGTTCTCCTTCCCCAGCCGCCCACCTCCATCCTGCTGCTGGCTGCACTGCTATTTTGAATATGCACAAACCTAGACTTTTCTTCTAACCACTGAGCTAATACACCCCTCCTTGCATACTCTTCTCTGGTCTGCTCCCACACTGCTGAGATTTTAGATTTTTTAATTTCTCTTTAAAAAAAAAAAAGATTTATTTATTTATTTGGAAGTCAGAGTTAGAGAGAGAGAGAAGGAGAGGCAAAGAGAGAGAGAGAGGTCTTCCATCCACTGGTTCACTCCCCAGTTGGCCTCAACAGCCGAAGCTGCACCGATCCGAAGCCAGGAGCCAGGAGCTTCTTCCAGGTCTCCCACGCGGGTGCAGGAGCCCAAGCACTTGGGTCATCTTCTACTGCTTTCCCAGGCCACAGCAGAGAGCTGGGTCGGAAGTGGAGGAGCCGGGCCCATATGGGATGCCAGCGCTGCAGACAGAGGCTTCACCCGCTACGCCACAGCGCCAACCTCAGATTTTTAATTTTTCAAGAACTGATACCTCTGGTTCAGCAAACATTTGTAGGACGTGTTTGCCGACAGCTGCTTCTGACCTGTGCCTCCCGGGTTCGCCTTTCTTCTGGCTGGGGCCCTCGGGAGGCGATGAGGGTAGCAGTGCTTCCCAGCCACCTCCCTGGCACGAGGGGCAGAGGACAAGTGGCACCTAGGGCACACAGGCGGCATTCGTAGCTAGAAAGGATGAAGCAGGCCCCAGCCATCCCAAAGCCTTCGAGCGCAAACCCTCTCTGCGCTGGCATCTCAGGGCCTCGGTGGGGCCGCGGGGTGGCCTGGTCCTCGGCATGCTCCAAGGTGGGCGAGACTCCAGGTCCGAAGGTTTTCTCAGCACTCTGAGGAGACCGCTACTGAATGCACGTCACGCTGCGTTCTAAGTGCTGTCACAAGCCCAGTCGCTCTCCTGCCTTTGCTCGCCGACTGCAAGACCTGACTTTCGCTTGCTTTGTTTTGCTCTGGGTTCCCAGTGCAACCTCTCCCCTGCAGGCCCTGCCCGGCCCCACGCCCTCTCCTCTCCCCTGCAGGCCCTGCCCGGCCCCACTCCCCCTCCTCTCCCCTGCAGGCCCTGCCCGGCCCCACGCCCTCTCCTCCTCCCCTGCAGGCCCTGCCCGGCCCCACGACCTCTCCTCTCCCCTGCAGGCCCTGCCCGACCCCACGCCCTCTCCTCTCCCCTGCAGGCCCTGCCCGGCCCCACGCCCTCTCCTCTCCCCTGCAAGCCCTGCCCGGCCCCACGCCCTCTCCTCTCCCCTGCAGGCCCTGCCCGGCCCCCACGCCCTCTCCTCTCCCCTGCAGGCCCTGCCCGGCCCCACGCCCTCTCCTCTCCCCTGCAGGCCCTGCCCGGCCCCCACGCCCTCTCCTCTCCCCTGCAGGCCCTGCCCGACCCCACGCCCTCTCCTCTCCCCTGCAGGCCCTGCCCGGCACCACGCCCTCTCCTCTCCCCTGCAGGCCCTGCCCGGCCCCCACGCCCTCTCCTCTCCCCTGCAGGCCCTGCCCGGCCCCACGCCCTCTCCTCTCCCCTGCAGGCCCTGCCCGGCCCCCACTCCCTTTCCTCTCCCCTGCAGGCCCTGCCCGGCTCCCACTCCCTCTCCTCTCCCCTGCAGGCCCTGCCCGGCCCCCACTCCCTGTCCTGCCTCCTCTCGAGCCACCCTTGGGACAGAGTGGAGCATGTGGACCCCACCAGCCTCTGCGCTTCCCGCCTGGTGCTCAGCGCTCCTCTCAAGGCGTCTGGGCCCCGTCCTCCAACTCAAGCATTTACTCATCCACACGGCTGCCCTAGGCCGCTGAGAGCATCTGTCTGATTTCTGTCCCCATCTCCAAGGTCTACTCAAAGGTGACTCTGAGTTTGCATCAAAGCCACTTGTATGTGCTGTCCTCACGCAGCGTGGCAGGCGCCTCCCCTCCTCTGCCCCGCCCCGGGCGCCTCTCCACAGCGCGCTCACTCTCACACAGGCGTCCAGAGGGCTGTCCTCTGCAAGCCCTCCCGTGCCACTGCCGCTGGCTGCAGGCGACCCTGGGGCTCCTCGGCCAGTGGCCCCACCGTCAGAGGACTTCCCCCGCGTCCTCTCTTCTGTCTCACGCCCTGATTTCGAGTCCACCCTATTCCAGGCTGCTCTCACCTCTGCGAAGACCGTCATTCTACATCAAGTCCCCTACAGAGTCCCAGGAGTTTAGGACGCGTCCTTCTAACACGACACATTCCCCAAGTCTGACGGTCCAGTCCCACCGCTGTTCTACAGAACAGGTGTGGCTGCCTGGCACACGTGCCCACTCTGGCGGGAGCGCGCCCCACACGGTTCACAGCTCCGACTTGCCGACGTCAGAGCGGCACCTCCCCACCCCTGCAGTGCCTCCCACCCAGGACCCTGGGCTCTCCACACAAAGGCCTGCTGGGTTCCCATGCAGGCGGACAAGAGCCACCCGCCACTGCAGACAGAGGGGCCCGCGTCTGACAGCTCCCTGTCTGGGCCTCGCCCCCGCCGCCCTCAGCGCCGGCCCTGCCCTCAGCTTCCAAGTCCCACACTTGGCTGTCTGGCACACACTCGGGCTCTTGGGAGGCAGCCTGGCAGACGGGCGGGGCGAGCTTTCTCAGCCGTCTTTCCCAGTTCCTCCACCAAGAACGTGTTCACACCTTTCAGCTGCTGCGTCTCCTCCCTTCCCACCTGCTCAGCCAGACTGTGTCCTCCAAGGTGCACGTGGGGAAATTCAGTCCCCAAAGCAACTGTGAGGGCTGAGACCTGTGGGAGTGTCTGGCACAACAGCTGGAGACACGCTTGGGACGTCCACACCACCCTGGACCGCCTGGGCCTGGGACGTCCACACACCACCCTGGACCGCCTGGGCTTGGGACGTCCACAACCCACACTGGACCGCCTGGGCTTGGGACGTCCACACCACCCTGGGCCGCCTGGGCTTGGAACGTCCACACCATCCTGGACCTCCTGGTCTTGGGACGTCCACACCCCATACTGGACCGCCCGGGCTTGGAACGTCCACACCATCCTGGGCCGCCTGGGCTTGGGACGTCCACACCACCCTGGACCGCCTGGGCTTGGGACGTCCACACCCCATACTGGACCGCCTGGGCTTGGGACGTCCACACCACCCTGGACCCTGGACCACCTGGGCTTGGGACGTCCACACCACCCTGGACCGTCTGGGCTTGGGACATCCACAACCCACACTGGACCGCCTGGGCTTGGGACATCCACACCACCCTGGACCACCTGGGCTTGGGACGTCCATACCACCCTGGACCGCCTGGGCCTAGGACGTCCACACCACCCTGGACCGCCTGGGCCCGGGACGTCCACACCACCCTGGACCGCCCGGGCTTGGGTCGTCCACACCCCACACTGGACCGCCTGGGCTTGAGCTCCAGCTTTGCTTCCGACTCCAGCTCCCTGCTACTGTGCACCCCTGGGAGGCAGCAAGTGGCAGCTCAAGTATTGAGTCCCTGCCCCCACGTGGACAGCCGGATTGGGTTCTTGGTGCTTGGCTGCAGCCTAGCCCAGCCCCAGCTGTTGCAGGCACTTGCGGAGTGAAACAGCAGACAGAAGACCTCTCTCTCTTTCAAATAGAAAACATCTACTGCTTTTCATGTAAACATTTTCAAAAGAGGGAGGCCCTCCCCCTCGACCCGCCCCGGGGCCCCTCCCCCTCTCTGGGATGACACAGCAGACCCTCACCAGGGGAGGCCCTCCCCCTTGGCCCACCCCGGGCCCCTCCCCCTCACTGGGATGACACAGCAGACCCTCATCAGGGGAGGCCCTCCCCCTCAGCCTACTCAGCCTCTAGAACACACTTCTGCTGGCCCCGCTGCCCAGCGATGGCAGGGTGTGCGGCACACAGGGGCACCACGCCAGGCCCTGGTGTGCCCAGGCCTGCCCAGGCCACCGCCCTCAGGGGCGCCTGCAGATCCCCTGCTGCACTTCCTCATCGCCCCTCCTGCTTCCCAGACTCAGAAGCTGCCGTGAGGCACACGTCCTTGGAGCCCTGCAGACCGCCCCGCCTCGCCGGCTAGTAAGTCCTCCCACGTGCTGACCGCGTTCTCGCCCTCACAGCACTGGGCCTCTCCCACGTGCTGACCGCGTTCTCGCCCTCACAGCACTGGGCCTCTCCCACGTGCTGACCGCGTTCTCACCCTCACAGCACTGGGCCTCTCCCACGTGCTGACCGCGTTCTCGCCCTCACAGCACTGGGCCTCTCCCACGTGCTGACCGCGTTCTCGCCCTCACAGCGCTGGGCCTCTCCCACGTGCTGACCGCGTTCTCACCCTCACAGCACTGGGCCTCTCCCACGTGCTGACCGCGTTCTCGCCCTCACAGCGCTGGGCCTCTCCCACGTGCTGACCGCGTTCTCGCCCTCACAGCGCTGGGCCTCTCCCCCGTGCTGACCGCGTTCTCGCCCTCACAGCGCTGGGCCTCTCCCACGTGCTGACCGCGTTCTCGCCCTCACAGCGCTGGGCCTCTCGTGTGCTGAGCACTGCCTGCCCAAGCAGACCCCTGGCTCTCCAGACGCTCTTGATGTTCAGGATCAGCAGTGAGACGTGACCGGGCGCAGGAACCACACAGCTCACCAGAGAGCCTGCTAAGTCACACCCAGAGAGCCATGGTAACTCATGCTTCCAGGGCACAAGCCGGGGTCAGCGAGGATCAGCACGGCTGGAACCCGAGTGACGACACCAACCTGGACAGACACAGGCCACCTGTGCTGGCAAGCGAACTCCACACATTGTTCCCAGCAACCGAATCTCACCATAAGGAAGCTGGTGAAGACACTGACCCCCAGCCATGACCTCCCCTGAACACGCAGGAGCAACGGGAGTGGCCACCCTGGCTTCAGCTCTACACCGTCTGTTTTTTCTTCTAATTGTTCAATGACACCTTCTGCATACTTCCTCATTCTTAAGGGCGCAGGGGCTCAGCTCCTGAACAACTGGGGTCTCCCCCTCTACATCAGGTAGGGTGGGTGTTCCAAAATGCTCATGGCTTTAAGACACTCTGATCAGCCATGACGAAGCCATTCCCATAAAAGTGAACTGTCAGAGCTGGCGCTGTGGTGCCAGTTCGTGTTCCAGCTGCTCCCCTTCTGGTCCAGCTCTCTGCTGTGGCCTGGGAGAGCAGTGGGAGACGCCCCAGTGCTTGGCGCCTGCACCCACGTGGGAGACCCGGAAGAAGCTCCTGGCTCCTAACTTTGGACCAGCCCAACCCCGCCTGTTGTGGCCATATGGGGAGTGAATCAGCAGACAAAAGATCTCTCTCTCTGTCTCTCTCTGTCTCTATCTCTCCCCCTCTCTCTCTGTAACTCTGCCTTTCAAATAAATAAATAACTCATAAATAAAATGAGCTGTCTTGCTTCTAACACCCCTCGTCCCACAAGATGCCCAACACCTGAAGAGCGAGACCTGCAGAGACGCAGCCCGCGCTCAGCGCTCGGCGCCAGGCTTCTCGGCACCACCGCGCCGCTCACCCAGACTCCTGGGACCCAGGGGGCTGCCACCCAAGCAGGTGCCCGTACCTTCTCCACTCCATCGGCTCTCTCGGAAGCTGCTGGGAAAGCGTTGGGTAGAGAGAGGTAAACAAATTCTGATCTCCAGCACCTGCATGGGGAATAAAGAGAAATGGAGTTATGGCGTCTTTAAGGAAATATAAATTACTCTCCAGTTCTTAAACTGATATTTCAGATAATCTTACATTTAGTAGAATGACATCATAGAGCAGGATTGCTTCTGACCCTAAAGGACTGGTCTCTAGAACCCACACCTGACATCTGCAGCTGAACTTAATCCTCACAGCGCCCCCATGAGGTGGGCGTGACCTCCCCTGGGAGGGGAGGGTCCGCAAAGGTGAGTGGCTTGTCCCAGGCTGCCAAGCTGAGCAAGCACACAGCGGGCTCCGCCCACCTGGCCTCAGGCGCCTGCAGCCTCTGCTGTCTTCACAAGAAAACAGCAGAAAACTCCAGAGGGGAACGGGACACACGAATGTGAACTCTCCCCCAAATGAATTCAGGATTCACCCAAGGCCAGCAGGAGCTAAAACGTACACAACACTCCCCACGTGCACAGCCAGGGCCAGGCATCCTCCCCGGGGGTCCTCACCACCCCTCCCCAGGACCCAGCTCACAACCCAGGAAGCCGAGGGCTGAGGTCACCAGGCCCAGGCACAAGCTGGCCCAGGGCAGACGCTACTGACACACAATGCAAGTGGGTGTGAGAGCCACCCAGCTCTCACAAAATGATCGTTCAGCCCTATTATCCCTAGCCCCAAAAGGAACCTTTTCATATAGATGACTGAAGTTCTTACACTCAGAGGGTCCTCTTTAAGCAAAACCATTTTCCTAATTGCTTTTATATTGATCTTAAAGAAATCACTGGGAATTGATGTGGGCCATTAACATGGCTGCTTATTTTTGCCATGTGCGCATAAAAACAGAAGCCTGCGGGATGTTAAGTGGCTGCAGACGGAGAGGGTGGGCGTGGCTGCAGGAGCCCGATGCTCTCCCACACGCTTCCTGGAGGGGACGGGACCAGTCAGTCACCGCCACTCGAAGCCTGGCACCGAGCAGTCACCAAGGGCTACTGGCTCTACAGTTTGGCCAAGATGAAAACAATCTCTACATTTTAACAGCGCTTTTCACGCTGTTCTCCTGTTCAGCATCCATCAGAAAGCAATACAGAAAACCCCGAGTCCGCTCAGGCTCCCTATCTCTGAACGCCAATTTCTGCAGCCTCATTACAAGTTCCAAGATTAATATATAAAAAGCATTACTCTTCACTAAATGGAAACCAAGCCAGCTACGTGGTGGCGTTCTCCTCTCCTGGTTTTCCATAGAAAGCTGCACACACGGCCCCTCCCATGGGAATCACACAAGTGCACTAACAACCTACATTTAGAGTCAAAGACAAACACCAAGGCCGGCACCATGACGTAGGAGGCTAAGTCGCTGCCTCCCACCCCAGCACCCATCTCAGAGTGCCAGCTGGAGTCCTGGCTGCTCCACTTCTGATCCAGTTCCCTGTTTACAGCACCTGGGAAAGCAGCAGAAGACGGCCAGGTGCTTGGGCCCCAGTCATCCATGTGGGAGACCCGGATGGAGCTCCTGGCTCCTGGCGTTGTCCTGGCCCACTCCCGGCCATTGCGGTCATCTGGGTAGTGAACCAGCAGAGATTAAGGAGCCGCCTGTGACACCAGCATTCTATTTAGGCACCGGTTCAAGGCCCAACTGCTCCACTTCCGATGCAGCTCCCTGCTAATGTGCCTAAGAAAGCAGTGGAAGATGCCCAAGTGTTGGCCCTGCACCCACACAGGAGACCCGGGTGGAGCTCCTGGCTTCGGCCAGCCAACCCTGGCATTACAGCCCCTGGGAAGTGAAACAGTGGAAGCCTCTCTGGTACCCCCCCGCCCCCGCCCTCTGTAACTGCCTTTCAGTAAGTTTCAAATGTAGAAGAGAGATGAAATGCCCCCACACCCCTCCTCCCACGCTTACCTCCCCAGAAGCCCAGCTGCACTGTACGGCTCCCCACACGGAGCCTAGGAAGTAACGGTGTTCTTGCTTGCTAGCAGGGACTGGGACCTGCGGCCAGTAACCGCACGAGGACAGAAGGCGTGGGGGGCTCTCAGAGCGTGGCAGTGGCGGAGCGTGCGTGGAGGCAGGGTCCCAGACGTGCTGGGAAGCGGAGGGAGCGGCTGGGCCCAAACGTGGGCTCTTCTGGAGACCCCCTTCCCAGGCCACAGCCCGAGTGACCTCAGGACCCCTCAGGGGCCACCTCCGGGACCACGCCTGTGAGGAGCATCAATCCCCAGGCCCGCTACAGCTCAGTCGGCACATAGGCCAAGGGAAGAGTTGTCATCTGGCGCGGCTGAGGACTTTTCTTTTTTTTTTTTTTTTGACAGGCAGAGTGGACAGTGAGAGAGAGAGTCAGAGAGAGAAAGGTCTTCCTTTGCCGCTGGTTCACCCTCCAATGGCCGCCGCTGCAGCCGGCGCACCGCGCTGATCCTGGCAGGAGCCAGGAGCCAGGTGCTTTTCCTGGTCTCCCATGGGGTGCAGGGCCCAAGCACCTGGGCCATCCTCCACTGCACTCCCTGGCCATAGCAGAGAGCTGGCCTGGAAGAGGGGCAACCGGGACAGAATCCGGCGCCCCAACCGGGACTAGAACCCGGTGTGCCGGCGCCGCAAGGTGGAGGATTAGCCTATTGAGCCACGGCGCCGGCTAGGACTTTTCAAATAAGTTCTTTAAAGGCTTATTTGACAGGCAGAGTGACAGAGAGAGGTGAAGAGGGAGGGAAGGAGGGGCGGGGTATCTTCCAACCACCAGTTCACTCCTCAAATGGCTGGGTCTAGTCTAAGCTGAAGCCAGGAGCCTGGAACTCCATCCAAGTCTCCCACGTAGGTGCAGGGCCCAAGTATTCAGGCCATCTTTCACTGCTTTCCCAGGCTCATTAGCAGGAAGCTGGGTCCAATGCAGATCAGCTGGGAATCAAACTGACACTGCAATATGGGATGCTGGCATCGCAGAACAAGGGTTAACCAGCTGCACCGCAAAACTGGCCCCATAACTGGGGATTTACCCTGCGACCTGTTAAGGCCTGGACTGTGTCTGGCTCAAGTCCACATGAAGCACCAAGCCCCAGCACCTCAGACCACCATGTATTTGATGGCAAAGGTGAACAGGCACGTTAAGTTGAAACGGCCCTCATCCCATCTGCCTGTGTCCTCCCTCTGAGAAAATCCGAACAGAGAGACAGCAGGGCCGAGGGAGGACACACAAAGACGGCGCGGTCAGCCAAGGACACAGACCCCAGAGGAAGCTGAGCGGGCCAACTCCCTGATCCGGCACCTCAAGCCTCCAGAGCGGCAGCGTTCGGTCAGCACAGCACCCAGGTCAGGTCTAAGAATCAGCACCATGAATCTCTGAACACACAGCTGCACGGCTAAGCTGCTCCTCAATCTCTGAATCAAGTACTAGGAAAAGCAAAGACGCGTTTGAAAACTGGGCAGAGAGAGACCCAGCACATGAAGAGTAAGAAAGGGCAGACCCCCAACACCTCCCCTCCGCTCACTGGCTGGTCGTCAGAGCCACACACACGCCACGCGGGTCACGCCATGCGCTCTGAGTCTGAGCTGTCACAGAGCTGCTGTCGGGCTGCCTGCTCACCTGACCCACGGGCGAGGGAGGGGAGGAAGCCGGGGAACCCGGGGGTTCACACAGCGGCTACCAGCGGCAAGAGTGGCTACCAGCGAGGGTCCCAACACTGTTCAGAAAGCACTGAGTCCCCTGCTCTCCCTCAAGAGCCCACTGCGAGTATCTCAACGACTAAGAGGCCCTGTTTTGGTGCGGGGAGAAGGACTCCTCAAAGCCACGCCAGGAGAATGCACAGCACAGCAGGAGTCCTCACGTCAGCCTGTCTCCCTGCGTGCGCCTCCCGAGCCCCTCGAGCCCCACCTGGGAAGGGCAGGGTAGAGCATCTGGGGAGGGGTCCGGCGCCCCTGAGGGCAGCCTGGACACCAAGGAAAGTGCAGCTCAGAGGAGCCCAGGAAGGGAGGCAGGGCCCTGGCTCTGGTCAGGTGCGCCCAGGGTCTGCTCACCACTCCCGCCCCAGGGAGTCAGAGAACTGACCCGACTTTCTACTGCAAAGCAGATTCCCACACCCGCGTTGATTCAGGACTTCCACGCTCAGAGCAAACACGAATCACACCCGGGAACGGCTGATCGCATGCTCTGGTGCCTGAAGCCCAGCAGTTCCAACGCTCACCACACAGCCCGGGAACTCACAGCTCACGGCTCTGCAGGCTGCAAGCCCTGTCTGGGTGAGGCTCTGTTCTCTTCAGGCACTGGACCCTCTCCTGGGGGCCCACCCTCTCGCCTCACCACCTCTGAAAGGCCCTACCTCCTGAGACCATCGCCGCCGGCTGTCCCCACACGGCTGGCGGGCAGGCACAGAGGCCAGGCCAGCTCCACGGTCCCATACCACCAGCAGGAAGGGCCATTCCACACCTGGAAACCCAGGCACGGAGAACCTCCGTGAGGGGCCCCAGGCCACAAACCCAGATTGGGATTCAGACCCTGGCTTTGGCCTCCGTGCCTTGCTGCTGCTCTGAGCTGCTTCTCAACTCCTCAGTTTTATTAAGCGTACTAATCAATCCGCAGCCGCCGTCTTGACACTGGCTGAACATGCAGGTCCAGAAACCCCCTGTAAAGAGGGAAGACTCTGTCACTTGCTTTTCAGTCCCTTTGTTGTTGTTGCTTCAATTCTTGAACTTGCAAAGCCTCAAGGGTCTTTGTATAAAACAACCAGGCAAAGACGACAGGGCGCTCAGGCAGTGCGCAGCCGCGCACTTTCCATGTGAAGGCTCTGTCGGGTGGAAGATGTAAGTATCTGTTGATGCTCTCAATACTCTGGAATGTTTTCAGCCTTTAGGAGAATCTTAGTAAAGTGAAACTAACTTTTCTAATCAAACAGAGCTCTCATTTCACCTTAAATGCTTGAAGACACCTGTGAACACCACGGCCGTCTCCAAGACGTCCTTGGCTGTGACTCGTTCTCGGGCAGGTGCAGGAAGGGGTGCAAAGGCAGGCATGGACCTGAGCTCTGTCCCAGG